TTGAATAGGCCTCATTTCACGTCCGGATGATTCTTCTTTGGGTGGATAATTTTTCAATGGCATATACCGTAGGGATGCTTTTTTAGGTGATACGTTGCCATAGTCTCCAAAAGTATGACGTCTTAATGTTTTTTTCGGTGTTGATGACGAGGCTCCCATTTGAAAGCGCCCGACAATAGATACTTCCGTTTTTAGTCTTTCTATCTCGAGCAGATACTCTTGTTTGCTTTTCTCCATCTCTTCTAGCTTAATTGCCTGCTTTTTGAGCCGAGTTTCGAGATCGCGAGTCAAGTTCTGATATCCTTGAAGTGCTCTTCTGTAGCTGACAAGATGTTTACTTTCGGTTTATTTTTGACAGTTTTAGTGCTTTGGGCGAATTCTGGTGTAGATCTAGTCTCCTCTGCAGCTAAAGTAACATTCCGATAATCAATGATTTGGCATTACCGCCAAGAGCCTGTGAGAGCAGTCTAGTCAATTTCGAATCGCGATAACTGATAAACTCCTTCCCCTCGCTTAGTTGCCTTATCACATTTCCTAATACTGACAAAGATTTGTTTATGTTAGCCCCCTCTTTAAGACGCTCACCAGCAGCTTTCGTCAGAGAAACTCTCTCAGAACCAGCTAAGTCCATTAAGTTAAGGTAGCTTATATGTACAGGTCCATCTTTCTGATTGGCATCTTTCGACTCCAGAATAATCCGGAAAATCGTGTGTGATCGAGATGACCTCTCATTCATGCGAGTAGCTGCAACTCGTCTGATCTTATTGCCCTGCATCATGTTCTCCATAACTTTATCAACATTGTCTACGACAGGTTCCTTGCATCAAGCAGCACATTTCCTTTGATATCTTCTCTTATAGTTAAACCCTGATTGCTCTTATCCAGGAGGTCATTGATCTTTTCATTGTAGATTTCAATATAACTGCATCTAATCAAGTACCTCTTATCAACCTGGTCTGCCACATGCTGGAATAACTGATTGGATACTAATTGGAAAAGCCCAGGATCTGTTTTATTGCCCAAAATGGTGTGTGTTTTGCCAGAAGATGTTTGGCCAGAAGATGTTTGGCCATATGCAAATATTGTTGCATTGAAACCTTCCATGAAGGAATCGACTAAAGGTTTTTACAGATCCATATACATCTGAATTTGTACATTCCTAGTTAAATACATGGTCGAATATATAAACCTCTCCATGGCGACTACTTTCATCGGCTTCCCATATGCAGTTTGCTCTTACGTTCCAAAGACGCTCTAGACCATCGGCTACTTCGGGGTGGATCATTGGTCTGATCTTTATGGCTACTTTAATATTGTCGGAAGTCATTTTGGAAGCTTGAACTGAATTTAATTAGAACTAGGCTATTTCACGGGTTATAAAGAGGGGCAGATGTATCAGGTTGATACATTCTTTTTTTCCTCCTTTCCAGTATAGAAGATTTTTTTCTCTTGTAGGCTATGAATGCGGTCCGATAATTTAGTAGAGCTACATTTACAGGGTGACTCAAAATCAAAGAAGAAACAGAATTGTTAAATTTTATATAGACTGTTATTGTTATTACAAAAAGAAGTTGAAGCAGCAGCAAATTCTCACAAATCTATAGATCCATCACTTTCAGCACCCGATTTTTTCAACTTGAAAAATGCAGCTCGGTGAAGAATCACAAGGTAACTGTTGTCTATTCAGACAATACTCTTCTAAAAGCAACGCGAAGTTACCTAGTGCCTTACATGAATCGCCTTCATAATTCTTCATTATTGTCAATGGAAAACTGAAATTGTTGATTATTACAGTTTTTAATGCTGCAAATAAGCAGATTGGGGTTCGTGTTGGAAATCCCACCGTCTAATCTCGCAAAACAGGTTATCCACCGGATCTTACTATCAACTTCTGAAATGCCATTACTGTTTTAAGCCATGTGTACAACAGGTTTTGTACGCATAAAACACTCTTACATGAAAACTGTTTATTGTCTAAAACGAAAATACCCCATTTGAAGATGAGTAATGCAACAAATATAATTTACGGAAACTTGAACTGTAATATGAACATAAAAAACTAACAAAATGGGCCATTTAACAACATATTTGGTGTGATATCTACACAAAAACAAATACTTTCTCGTATAAGGAAACGTACAATAATTCACATTTATCACTTTTCACGAAACAATGTAGCTGGCTCTGTGACTTTGCATACTTATTACAGATTGTAGAACATTTTTTCATTGTGTATTGTCATGTAACACCTACGTCGTTTTTCCCTTTATCAACTGCATCAGGATCGAGAACTCTGGGCTGAGAAGTAGACGGCTTACTTTATTCGTCGTTGGTAATTTTGGATTCTTTGCATGGCTGAACGAAGCTCCCTAGGAAGTCTTGGATCTGATAAACGTCCCTCTCATACGAAGTTAAATTAGAGTTTGCCTCAGGAGAACAATAAAATTTCGTCGCCTAATAGAACTTTCAGTCCCAGACTGAAAAAAAGGAATTTACAGAAGCTGGTTGGATACCAAATAGCACAAGGCAATCTTCTCGTGCTCTAACCAGTATTGTAATTTACACACTTCCGATCTAATGCATTACCCCCCCGCCTTCATAGTGTTTATAAAAATAATATAGAATCTTATCAGGTTCTTTGATTCCTCTACTATTTTGTTATCATGCTGCATAGATTGCTATACGAGAACATGTGTATTTGGTTTTGGAAGATACTACACTAAGGCTGTAGTGCTAGTGAACGTAAACTTAGAAGTACCTGGCTGTGTTTCCCTTCTTATTTGGAACTACATGTTGGGGGGTACTTGTTACTTATTTTTACGCTTCCTGCCGACGTTGGTCAGTTGGTTGATGCGCAATTCTACATGTAATTCTACTGGTGTGATATTTCTGTTCGTATAGACGAAAGCATTGAGCAGGTAGTGGTGAGTATTTGCATCATCAGTCCATACTTATTCGGTTTAGTTTTCTTGTAGGCACAGGAAGGACATCGGCCCACGAGCATCTCGTATTTTGTAGGGGACTCACCCGAAAAATAAAAATTTCGACAGTTCTCTATGAGTGTCTCGAAAATTTCACGTATTTGGAGAAATTTATCTGCATTTCTCGAGTCACAGGGTTATTATTTCCAAATTGGTTGCCACGGACTTTAGTTCAGGTAAATGCGTAATAATATTGTCGTCTGGATCGACCAGTTGCAGGCGCTCGTTTTGACCAATTGTACATGTTTTTTCCATAAGCATAGCGAGGTCGTCCATAGGAAGTTGTTCAGGTTGATCGCTAACAGCGTCGTCCTCGGCGTAGTCTATGGTGTATTGTTCATCCGTCAACAACGAAAAAATCCATTGTGAAGGAAGTTCAAATCGTACACGCAGCTGACATCCTCGGATCAAATTTGACCGCAAAGTCAACAAACCAACACTTGTGATGTTTTAAATTAAACTGTGGTTTGAGGTATACGTGCTTATACCGTATGAGAAGTCACGGGAGCCCCACCACATAACTGAGAAAGCTCGAATCATCCGACGATACCATTAAAGGATTAATTTCTATATTCTTAAACGAATCTATAAAATCAAAGTGGCTGGGTTTTCAATTTACATAGCTCTTTGTATGGTCTTGTTTGTTGATCAACATTATATGCTTTCTAGACATGTTCAAGCTGTGCAGCTTCTTCACTTTCATATTAATGTCAATAAGAGCATTTCATCCATTTTTGAATAAATGTGGTTCATCACAAATTGTAGAAATACTCTGAGCATTGACTATAAAATGGAATGGACTTGATCCGTGAGTATTCTCCGAGCAAATCGTCTCAAGTGCGTTTTTGATCGTTGCGCCCCGATTACAAATAGTGCCAACGTCGCACAAACCAAGTCGCTGCAAGTTTGTGATCACATGAACAATAATCGTTTTCAGATCTGGGATTCTTTTATCTTTACTAGATAATAAGCCACAACCTGCTTATAATTTTTACGAATCCCTCTTATCATGGAAGTAAGGGCATGATTTCTGATAAATCACTTTTACAGAGTTCTAGTTGATTTGTTACCTCAGAATTCAAGATTTATTAGCTGAAAATTGTACACTGTGAGCGGTTACCAGACTAGATTCACAATCTTAAGTCCTAGGTGCTATCGTGGTGCGTGGGATCAGCCCTAAACTTTGTCCAAACCCTGCAATAATCGTAAACACTAAACAAGGGTAGACATATTTCTAGTTTAACTGCCTGAAGATTTTCTCTATGGTTTATACGTAACCCTCCATCTATTATCTCATTTTGTACATGTTCTGGGAGAACTCAACTTGCTCCCTATAAAATGCAACGTCTTCCTGCACAGCTGGTTCTGGTTAGGTGCCAGCCTGCTTCGGGTTTGTAATTAGTTGTTGCAATTTACCGATTTCGTCGTCATTTTTCATAATCCAGATTTCGTTTTGGCATTCCAGTTCAGCCATTTGATCCTGAAGCTCTTTTATAGTAGAATCATTATGGCATCGTATATCTGAGATTTTAAATGAGTGGTTGACCTCACGTTGGTTACTCTCGTCCATCAGACTCTTTACGTCATTTCTCAGTTTAGATTCAAGTTCTTTTAGGAAGCCAATTTCATCTTGCAGTTCAGCAATGTGTGACATCGTTACATCAGTTTGTGTAGCAGCACTTAAAGAAACTTGCATATCTTCGTACTCAGCGTCAAGCATAGCTTCTAAGTCTGCAACCTTCTTTTTTGACTCAATATTTTGAGCTTCAAGAGATGGTTTAGGGCTCTCTGATCTTCCTAGGTTCTTCAGTTGAGTACGCAGCATCTCTATTTCTGACTCGTATGTTTTTAGTCTTTTTATTATTTTTTTCCAGAAAATCGAGTCTGTATTGCAAGTCGATGAAATTCTTGCGCTTTTTGAGAATTTTTTTGAACTCTTTCTATTTCTTCGTTGTACGCATCCGTTACTTGGCGGAGTTCCTGACTGTAACGATCGAATTTAGAATTGGCTTCTGTGAGCTGTTTCTTCAGGTCCAAAATCTCCAGCTGATTATCTAGTTTAGTGAATTCTCTAAGCTCATTGAAAGATTCTTCCAGTTCTTTGAGTTGTCTTTTAAGTACACTTGCACGTCTTCAGCTATCACAGATTCTGCTTCGGCTAGTGCCTCCTCATATGTCTCTTCTTGAATAGGCCTCATTTCACGTCCGGATGATTCTTCTTTGGGTGGATAATTTTTCAATGGCATATACCCTAGGGATGCTTTTTTAGGTGATACGTTGCCATAGTGTCCAAAAGTATGACGTCTTAATGTTTTTTTCGGTGTTGATGCCGAGGCTCCCATTTGAAAGCGCCCGACAATAGATACTTCCGTTTTTAGTCTTTCTATCTCGAGCAGATACTCTTGTTTGCTTTTATCCATCTCTTTTAGCTTAATTGCCTGCTTTTTGAGCCGAGTTTCGAGATCGCGAGTCAAGTTCTGATATCCTTGAAGTGTCTCTTCTGTAGCTGACAAGATGTTTACTTTCGTTTTATTTTTGACAGTTTTAGTGCTTTGGGCGAATTCTGGTGTAGATCTAGTCTCCTCCTCTGCAGCTAAAGTAACATTCCCGATAATCAATGATTTGGCATTACCGCCAAGAGCCTGTGAGAGCAGTCTAGTCAATTTCGAATCGCGATAACTGATAAACTCCTTCCCCTCGCTTAGTTGCCTTATCACATTTCCTAATACTGACAAAGATTTGTTTATGTTAGCCCCCTCTTTAAGACGCTCACCAGCAGCTTTCGTCAGAGAAACTCTCTCAGAACCAGCTAAGTCCATTAAGTTAAGGTAGCTTATATGTACAGGTCCATCTTTCTGATTGGCATCTTTCGACTCCAGAATAATCCGGAAAATCGTGTGTGATCGAGATGACCTCTCATTCATGCGAGTAGCTGCAACTCGTCTGATCTTATTGCCCTGCATCATGTTCTCCATAACTTTATCAACATTGTCTACGACAGCTTCCCTTGCATCAAGCAGCACATTTCCTTTGATATCTTCTCTTATAGTTAAACCCTGATTGCTCTTATCCAGGAGGTCATTGATCTTTTCATTGTAGATTTCAATATAACTGCATCTAATCAAGTACCTCTTATCAACCTGGTCTGCCACATGCTGGAATAACTGATTGGATACTAATTGGAAAAGCCCAGGATCTGTTTTATTGCCCAAAATGGTGTGTGTTTTGCCAGAAGATGTTTGGCCATATGCAAATATTGTGGCATTGAAACCTTCCATGAAGGAATCGACTAAAGGTTTTACTACAGATCCATATACATCTGAATTTGTACATTCCTGCTTAAATACATGTCGAATATATAAACCTCTCCATGGCGACTACTTTCATCGGCTTCCCATATGCAGTTTACTCTTACGTTCCAAAGACGCTCTAGACCATCGGCTACTTCGCGGTGGATCATTGGTCTGATCTTTGTGGCTACTTTAATATTGTCGGAAGTCATTTTGGAAGCTTGAACTGAAATTTAATTAGAACTAGGGCTATTTCACGGGTTATAAAGAGGGGCACTTTTCATAATCCAGATTTCGTTTTGGCATTCCAGTTCAGCCATTTGATCCTGAAGCTCTTTTATAGTAGAATCATTATGGTATCGTATATCTGAGATTTTAAATGAGTGGTTGACCTCACGTTGGTTACTCTCGTCCATCAGACTCTTTACGTCATTTCTCAGTTTAGATTCAAGTTCTTTTAGGAAGCCAATTTCATCTTGCAGTTCAGCAATGTGTGACATCGTTACATCAGTTTGTGTAGCAGCACTTAAAGAATCTTGCATATCTTCGTACTCAGCGTCAAGCATAGCTTCTAAGTCTGCAACCTTCTTTTTTGACTCAATATTTTGAGCTTCAAGAGATGGTTTAGGGCTCTCTGATCTTCCTAGGTTCTTCAGTTGAGTACGCAGCATCTCTATTTCTGACTCGTATGTTTTTAGTCTTTTATTATTTTTTTCCAGAAAATCGAGTCTGTATTGCAAGTCGATGAAATTCTTGCGCTTTTTGAGAATTTTTTGAACTCTTTCTATTTCTTCGTTGTACGCATCCGTTACTTGGCGGAGTTCCTGACTGTAACGATCGATTTTAGAATTGGCTTCTGTGAGCTGTTTCTTCAGGTCCAAAATCTCCAGCTGATTATCTAGTTTAGTGAATTCTCTAAGCTCATTGAAAGATTCTTCCAGTTCTTTGCGTTGTCTTTTAAGTACACTTGCACGTCTTCAGCTATCACAGATTCTGCTTCGGCTAGTGCCTCCTCATATGTCTCTTCTTGAATAGGCCTCATTTCACGTCCGGATGATTCTTCTTTGGGTGGATAATTTTTCAATGGAATATACCCTAGGGATGCTTTTTTAGGTGATACGTTGCCATAGTGTCCAAAAGTATGACGTCTTAATGTTTTTTTCGGTGTTGATGCCGAGGCTCCCATTTGAAGCGCCGACAATAGATACTTCCGTTTTTAGTCTTTCTATCTCGAGCAGATACTCTTGTTTGCTTTTCTCCATCTCTTCTAGCTTAATTGCCTGCTTTTTGAGCCGAGTTTCGAGATCGCGAGTCAAGTTCTGATATCCTTGAAGTGCCTCTTCTGTAGCTGACAAGATGTTTGCTTTCGGTTTATTTTGACAGTGTTAGTGCTTTGGGCGAATTCTAGTGTAGATCTAGTCTCCTCCTCTGCAGCTGAAGTAACATTCCCGATAATCAATGATTTGGCATTACTGCCAAGAGCCTGTGAGAGCAGTCTAGTCAATTTCGAATCGCGATTACTGATAAACTCCTTCCCCTCGCTTAGTTGCCTTATCACATTTCCTAATACTGACAAAGATTTGTTTATGTTAGCCCCCTCTTTAAGATGCTCACCAGCAGCTTTCGTCAGAGAAACTCTCTCAGAACCAGCTAAGTCCATTGAGTTAAGGTAGCTTATATGTACAGGTCCATCTTTCTGATTGGCATCTTTCGACTCCAGAATAATCCGGAAAATCGTGTGTGATCGAGATGACCTCTCATTCATGCGAATAGCTGCAACTCGTCTGATCTTATTGCCCTACATCATGTTCTCCATAACTTGATCAACATTGTCTACGACAGCTTCCCTTGCATCAAACAGCACATTTCCTTTGATATCTTCCCTTATAGTTAAACCCTGATTGCTCTTATCCAGGAGGTCATTGATCTTTTCATTGTAGATTTCAATATAACTGAATCTAATCAAGTACCTCTTATCAACCTGGTCTGCCACATGCTGGAATAACTGATTGGATACTAATTGGAAAAGCCCAGGATCTGTTTTATTGCCCAAAATGGTGTGTGTTTTGCCAGAAGATGTTTGGCCATATGCAAATATTGTTGCATTGAAACCTTCCATGAAGGAATCGACTAAAGGTTTTACTACAGATCCATATACATCTGAATTTGTACATTCCTGGTTAAATACATGGTCGAATATATAAACCTCTCCATGGCGACCACTTTCATCGGCTTCCCAAATGCAGTTTTCTCTTACGTTCCAAAGACGCTCTAGACCATCGGCTACTTCGCGGTGGATCATTGGTCTGATCTTTATGGCTATTTTAATATTGTCGGAAGTCATTTTGGAAGCTTGAACTGAAATTTAATTAGAACTAGGGCTATTTCACGGGTTATAAAGAGGGGCAGATGTATCAGGTTGATACATTCTTTTTTCCTCCTTTCCAGTATAGAAGATTTTTTTCTCTTGTAGGCTATGAATGCGGTCCGATAGTTTAGTAGAGCTACATTTACAGGGTGACTCAAAATCAAAGAAGAAACAGAATTGTTAAATTTCATATAGACTGTTATTGTTATTACAAAAAGAAGTTGAAGCAGAAGCAAATTCTCACAAATCTATAGATCCATCACTTTCAGCACCCGATTTTTCAACTTGAAAAATGCAGCTCGGTGAAGAATCACAAGGTAACTGTTGTCTATTCAGACAATACTCTTCTAAAAGCAACGCGAAGTTACCTAGTGCCTTACATGAATCGCCTTCATAATTCTTCATTATTGACAATGGAAAACTGAAATTGTTGATTATTACAGTTTTTAATGCTGCAAATAAGCAGATGGTGTTCGTGTTGGAAATCCCACGTCTAATCTCGCAAAACAGGTTATCCACCGGATCTTACTATCAACTTCTGAAATGCCATTACTGTTTTTAGCCATGTGTACAACAGGTTTGTACGCATAAAACGCTCAGGGGAACAATAAAATTTCGTCGCCTAATAGAACTTTCAGTCCCAGACTGAAAAAAAAAAAGGAATTTACAGAAGCTGGTTGGATACCAAATAGCACAAGGCCATCTTCTCGTTCTCTAACCAGTATTGTAATTTACACACTTCCGATCTAATGCATTACCCCCCGCCTTCATAGTGTTATAAAATAATATAGAATCTTATCAGGTTTCTTTGATTCCTCTACTATTTTGTTATCATGCTGCATAGATTGCTATACGAGAACATGTGTATTTGGTTTTGGAAGATACTACACTAAGGCTGTAGTGCTAGTGAACATAAACTTAGAAGTACCTGGCTGTGTTTCCTTCTTATTCGGAACTACATGTTGGGATACTTGTTACTTATTTTACGCTTCCTGCCGACATTGGTCAGTTGGTTGATGCGCAATTCTACATGTAATTCTACTGGTGTGATATTTCTGTTCGTATAGACGAAAGCATTGAGCAGGTAGTGGTGAGTCTTTGCATCATCAGTCCATACTTATTCGGTTTAGTTTTCTTGTAGGCACAGGAAGGACATCGGCCCACGAGCATCTCGTATTTTGTAGGGGACCTCACCCGAAATATAAAATTTCGACAGTTCTCTATGAGTGTCTCGAAAATTTCACGTATTTGGAGAAATTTATCTGCATTTCTCGAGTCACAGGGTATTATTTTCCAAATTGGTTGCCACGGACTTTAGTTCAGGTAAATGCGTAATAATATTGTCGTCTGGATCGACCAGTTGCAGGCGCTTGTTTTGACCAATTGTACATGTTTTTTCTATAAGCATAGCGAGGTCGCCCATAGGAAGTTGTTCAGGTTGATCGCTAACAGCGTCGTCCTCGGCGTGGTGTATTGTTCATCCGCCAACAACGAAAAAATCCATTGTGAAGCAAGTTCAAATCGTACACGCAACTGACATCCTCGGATCAAATTTGACCGCAAAGTCAACAAACCAACACTTGTGATGTTTAAATTAAACTGTGGTTTGAGGGTATACGTGCTTATACCGTATGAGAAGTCACGGGACCCCCACCACATAACTGAGAAAGCTCGAATCACCCGACGATACCATTAAAGGATTAATTTCTATATTCTTAAACGAATCTATAAAATCAAAGTGGCTGGGTTTCAATTTACATAGCTCTTTGTATGGTCTTGTTTGCTGATCAACATTATTTGCTTTCTAGACATGTTCAAGCTGTGCAGCTTCTTCACTTTCATATTAATGTCAATAAGAGCATTTCATCCATTTTTGAATAAATGTGGTTCATCAAAAATTGTAGAAATACTCTGAGCATTGCTATAAAATGGAATGGACTTGATCCGTGAGTATTCTCCGAGCAAATCGTCTCAAGTGCGTTTTTGATCGTTGCGCCCTGATTACAAATAGTGCCAACGACGCACAAACCAAGTCGCTGCAAGTTTGTGATCACATGAACAATAATCGTTTTCAGATCTGGGATTCTTGTATCTTTTACTAGATAATAAGCCACAACCTGCTTATAATTTTTACGAATTCCTCTTATCATGGAAGTAAGGGCATGATTTCTGATAAATCACTTTTACAGAGTTCTAGTTGATTTTGTTACCTCAGAATTCAAGATTTATTAGCTGAAAATTGTACACTGTGAGCGGTTACCAAGACTAGATTCACAATCTTAAGTCCTAGGTGCTATCGTGGTCCGTGGGATCAGCCCTAACTTTGTCCATACCCTGCAATAATCGTAAACACTAAACAAGGGTAGACATATTTCTAGTTTAACTGCCTGAAGATTTTCTCTATGGTTTATACGTAACTCTCCACCTATTATCTCATTTTGTACATGTTCTGGGAGAACTCAACTTGCTCCCTATAAAATGCAACGTCTTCCTGCACAGGTGGTTCTGGTTAAGTGCCAGCCAGCTTCGGGTTTGTAATTAGTTGTTGCAATTTTCTGATTTCGTCGTCATTTTTCATAATCCAGATTTCGTTTTGGCATTCCAGTTCAGCCATTTGATCCTGAAGCTCTTTTATAGTAGAATCATTATGGCATCGTATATCTGAGACTTTAAATGAGTGGTTGACCTCACGTTGATTACTCTCGTCCATCAGACTCTTTACGTCATTTCTCAGTTTAGATTCAAGTTCTTTTAGGAAGCCAATTTCATCTTGCAGTTCAGCAATCTGTGACATCGTTACATCAGTTTGTGTAGCAGCACTTAAAGAATCTTGCATATCTTCATACTCAGCGTCAAGCGTAGCTTCTAAGCCTGCAACCTTCTTTTTTGACTCAATATTTTGAGCTTCAAGAGATAGTTAAGGCTCTCTGATCTTCCTAGGTTCTTCAGTTGAGTACGCAGCATCTCTATTTCTGACTCGTATGTTTTTAGTCTTTTTATAATGTTTTTCCAGAAAATCGAGTCTGTATTGCAAGTCGATGAAATTCTTGCGCTTTTTGAGAATTTTTTTGAACCCTTTCTATTCTTCGTTGTACGCATCCGTTACTTGGCGGAGTTCCTGACTGTAACGATCGATTTTAGAATTGGCTTCTGTGAGCTGTTTCTTCAGGTCCAAAATCTCCAGCTGATTATCTAGTTTAGTGAATTCTCTAAGCTCATTGAAAGATTCTTCCAGTTCTTGAGTTGTCTTTTAAGTACACTTGCAGGCACGTCTTCAGCTATCACAGATTCTGCTTCGGCTAGTGCCTCCTCATATGTCTCTTCTTGAATAGGCCTCATTTCACGTCCGGATGATTCTTCTTTGGGTGGATAATTTTTCAATGGCATATACCGTAGGGATGCTTTTTTAGGTGATACGTTGCCATAGTCTCCAAAAGTATGACGTCTTAATGTTTTTTTCGGTGTTGATGACGAGGCTCCCATTTTAAACCGCCCGACAATAGATACTTCCGTTTTTAGTCTTTCTATCTCGAGCAGATACTCTTGTTTGCTTTTCTCCATCTCTTCTAGCTTAATTGCCTGCTTTTTGAGCCGAGTTTCGAGATCGCGAGTCAAGTTTCTGATATCCTTGAAGTGCTTCTTCTGTAGCTGACAAGATGTTTACTTTCGGTTTATTTTTGACAGTTTTAGTGCTTTGGGCGAATTCTGGTGTAGATCTAGTCTCCTCTGCAGCTAAAGTAACATTTCCGATAATCAATGATTTGGCATTACCGCCAAGAGCCTGTGAGAGCAGTCTAGTCAATTTCGAATCGCGATAACTGATAAACTCCTTCCCCTCGCTTAGTTGCCTTATCACATTTCCTAATACTGACAAAGATTTGTTTATGTTAGCCCCCTCTTTAAGACGCTCACCAGCAGCTTTCGTCAGAGAAACTCTCTCAGAACCAGCTAAGTCCATTAAGTTAAGGTAGCTTATATGTACAGGTCCATCTTCTGATTGGCATCTTTCGACTCCAGAATAATCCGGAAAATCGTGTGTGATCGAGATGACCTCTCATTCATGCGAGTAGCTGCAACTCGTCTGATCTTATTGCCCTGCATCATGTTCTCCATAACTTTATCAACATTGTCTACGACAGGTTCTCTTGCATCAAGCAGCACATTTCCTTTGATATCTTCTCTTATAGTTAAACCCTGATTGCTCTTATCCAGGAGGTCATTGATCTTTTCATTGTAGATTTCAATATAACTGCATCTAATCAAGTACCTCTTATCAACCTGGTCTGCCACATGCTGGAATAACTGATTGGATACTAATTGGAAAAGCCCAGGATCTGTTTCATTGCCCAAAATGGTGTGTTTGCCAGAAGATGTTTGGCCAGAAGATGTTTTGGCCATATGCAAATATTGTGCATTGAAACCTTCCATGAAGGAATCGACTAAAGGTTTTACTACAGATCCATATACATCTGAATTTGTACATTCCTAGTTAAATACATGGTCGAATATATAAACCTCTCCATGGCGACTACTTTCATCGGCTTCCCATATGCCGTTTGCTCTTACGTTCCAAAGACGCTCTAGACCATCGGCTACTTCGGGGTGGATCATTGGTCTGATCTTTATGGCTACTTTAATATTGTCGGAAGTCATTTTGGAAGCTTGAACTGAAATTTAATTAGACTAGGGCTATTTCACGGGTTATAAAGAGGGGCAGATGTATCAGGTTGATACATTCTTTTTTTCCTCCTTTCCAGTATAGAAGATTTTTTTCTCTTGTAGGCTATGAATGCGGTCCGATAATTTAGTAGAGCTACATTTACAGGGTGACTCAAAATCAAAGAAGAAACAGAATTGTTAAATTTTATATAGACTGTTATTGTTATTACAAAAAAGAAGTTGAAGCAGCAGCAAATTCTCACAAATCTATAGATCCATCACTTTCAGCACCCGATTTTTCAACTTGAAAAATGCAGCTCGGTGAAGAATCACAAGGTAACTGTTGTCTATTCAGACAATACTCTTCTAAAAAGCAACGCGAAGTTACCTAGTGCCTTACATGAATCGCCTTCATAATTCTTCATTATTGTCAATGGAAAACTGAAATTGTTGATTATTACAGTTTTAATGCTGCAAATAAGCAGATGGGGTTCGTGTTGGAAATCCCACGTCTAATCTCGCAAAACAGGTTATCCACCGGATCTTACTATCAACATTCTGAAATGCCATTACTGTTTTTAGCCATGTGTACAACAGGTTTGTACGCATAAAACACTCTTACATTGAAAACTGTTTATTGTCTAAAAACGAAAATACCCCATTGAAGATGAGTAATGCAATAAATATAATTTACGAAACTTGAACTGTAATATGAACATAAAAAACTAACAAAATGGGCCATTTAACAACATATTTGGTGTTGATATTCTACAACAAAAACAAATACTTTCTCGTATAAGGAAACATACAATAATTCACATTTATCACTTTTCACGAAACAATGTAGCTGCTCTGTGACTTTACATACTTATTACAGATTGTAGAACATTTTTTTTATTGTGTATTGTCATGTAACACCTACGTCGTTTTTTTCCTTTATCAACTGCATCAGGATCGAGAACTCTGGGCTGAGAAGTAGACGGCTTACTTTATTCGTCGTTGGTAATTTTGGATTCTTTGCATGGCTGAACGAAGCTCCCTAGGAAGTCTTGGATCTGATAAACTGTCCTCTCATACGAAGTTAAATTAGAGTTTGCCTCAGGAGAACAATAAAATTTCGTCGCCTAATGGAACTTTCAGTCCCAGACTGAAAAAAAAAGGAATTTACAGAAGCTGGTTGGATACCAAATAGCACAAGGCATCTTCTCGTGCTCTAACCAGTATTGTAATTTACACACTTCCGATCTAATGCATTACCCCCCGCCTTCATAGTGTTATAAAAATAATATAGAATCTATCAGGTTTCTTTGATTCCTCTACTATTTTGTTATCATGCTGCATAGATTGCTATACGAGAACATGTGTATTTGGTTTTGGAAGATACTACACTAAGGCTGTAGTGCTAGTGAACGTAAACTTAGAAGTACCTGGCTGTGTTTCCTTCTTATTTGGAACTACATGTTGGGGTACTTGTTACTTATTTTTACGCTTCCTTCGACGTTGGTCAGTTGGTTGATGCGCAATTCTACATGTAATTCTACTGGTGTGATATTCTGTTCGTATAGACGAAAGCATTGAGCAGGTAGTGGTGAGTCTTTGCATCATCAGTCCATACTTATTCGGTTAGTTTTCTTGTAGGCACAGGAAGGACATCGGCCCACGAGCATCTCGTATTTTGTAGGGGACTCACCCGAAATATAAAAATTTCGACAGTTCTCTATGAGTGTCTCGAAAATTTCACGTATTTGGAGAAATTTAATCTGCATTTCTCGAGTCACAGGGTTATTATTTTCCAAATTGGTTGCCACGGACTTTAGTTCAGGTGAATGCGTAATAATATTGTCGTCTGGATCGACCAGTTGCAGGCGCTCGTTTTGACCAATTGTACATGTTTTTTCCATAAGCATAGCGAGGTCGTCCATAGGAAGTTGTTCAGGTTGATCGCTAACAGCGTCGTCCTCGGCGTAGTCCTATGGTGTATTGTTCATCCGTCAACAACGAAAAAATCCATTGTGAAGGAAGTTCAATCGTACACGCAACTGACATCCTCGGTCAAATTTGACCGCAAAGTCAACAAACCAACACTTGTGATGTTTAAATTAAACTGTGGTTTGAGGTATACGTGCTTATACCGTATGAGAAGTCACGGGAGCCCCCACCACATAACTGAGAAAGCTCGAATCATCCGACGATACCATTAAAGGATTAATTTCTATATTCTTAAACGAATCTATAAAATCAAAGTGGCGGGGTTTCAATTTACATAGCTCTTTGTATGGTCTGTTTGTTGATCAACATTATTGCTTTCTAGACATGTTCAAGCTGTGCAGCTTCTTCACTTTCATATTATGTCAATAAGAGCATTTCATCCATTTTTGAATAAATGTGGTTCATCACAAATTGTAGAAATACTCTGAGCATTGACTATAAAATGGAATGGACTTGATCCGTGAGTATTCTCGAGCAAATCGTCTCAGTGCGTTTTTGATCGTTGCGCCCTGATTACAAATAGTGCCAACGACGCACAAACCAAGTCGCTGCAAGTTTGTGATCACATGAACAATAATCGTTTTCAGATCTGGGATTCTTGTAATCTTTTACTAGATAATAAGCCACAACCTGCTTATAATTTTTACGAATTCCTCTTATCATGGAAGTAAGGGCATGATTTCTGATAAATCACTTTTACAGAGTCTAGTTGATTTTGTTACCTCAGAATTCAAGATTTATTAGCTGAAAATTGTACACTGTGAGCGGTTACCAAGACTAGATTCACAATCTTAAGTCCTAGGTGCTATCGTGGTGCCGTGGGATCAGCCCTAAACTTTGTCCAAACCCTGCCAATAATCGTAAACACTAAACAAGGGTAGACATATTTCTAGTTTAACTGCCTGAAGATTTTTCTCTATGGTTTATACGTAACTCTCCACCTATTATCTCATTTTTTGTACATGTTCTGGGAGAACTCAACTTGCTCTCCTATAAAATGCAACGTCTTCCTGCACAGTGGTTCTGGTTAAGTGCCAGCCTGCTTCGGGTTTGTAATTAGTTGTTGCAATTTACCTGATTCGTCGTCATTTTTCATAATCCAGATTTCGTTTTGGCATTCCAGTTCAGCCATTTGATCCTGAAGCTCTTTTATAGTAGAATCATTATGGCATCGTATATCTGAGATTTTAAATGAGTGGTTGACCTCACGTGGTTACTTCTCGTCCATCAGACTCTTTACGTCATTTCTCAGTTTAGATTCAAGTTCTTTTAGGAAGCCAATTTCATCTTGCAGTTCAGCAATCTGTGACATCGTTACATCAGTTTGTGTAGCAGCACTTAAAGAAATCTTGCATATCTTCGTACTCAGCGTCAAGCAGTAGCTTCTAAGTCCTGCAACCTTCTTTTTGACTCAATATTTTGAGCTTCAAGAGATAGTTAGGGCTCTCTGATCTTCCTAGGTTCTTCAGTTGAGTACGCAGCATCTCTATTTCTGACTCGTATGTTTTTAGTCTTTTATTATTTTTTTCCAGAAAATCGAGTCTGTATTGCAAGTCGATGAAATTCTTGCGCTTTTTGAGAATTTTTTTGAACTCTTTCTATTTCTTCGTTGTACGCATCCGGTGACTTGGCGGAGTTCCTGACTGTAACGATCGATTTTAGAATGGCTTCTGTGAGCTGTTTTCTTCAGGTCCAAAATCTCCAGCTGATTATCTAGTTTAGTGAATTCTCTAGCTCATTGAAAGATTCTTCCAGTTCTTTGAGTTGTCTTTTAGTATAACTTGCACGTCTTCAGCTATCACAGATTCTGCTTCGGCTAGTGCCTCCTCATATGTCTCTTCTTGAATAGGCCTCATTTCACGTCCGGATGATTCTTCTTTGGGTGGATAATTTTTCAATGGCATATTACCCTAGGGATGCTTTTTTAGGTGATACGTTGCCATAGTGTCCAAAAGTATGACGTCTTAATGTTTTTTTCGGTGTTGATGCCGAGGCTCCCATTTGGAAAGCGCCCGACAATAGATACTTTCCGTTTTTAGATTCTTTCTATCTCGAGCAGATACTCTTGTTTGCTTTTATCCATCTCTTTTAGCTTAATTGCCTGCTTTTGAGCCGAGTTTCGAGATCGCGAGTCAAGTTCTGATATCCTTGAAGTGTCTCTTCTGTAGCTGACAAGATGTTTACTTTCGTTTTATTTTTGACAGTTTTAGTGCTTTGGGCGAATTCTGGTGTAGATCTAGTCTCCTCCTCTGCAGCTAAAGTAACATTCCCGATAATCAATGATTTGGCATTACCGCCAAGAGCCTGTGA